CCCGTGGCAGCAGCAGGTTCGAGCAACGCCGATTCATTCTTGGAGACTGGTTTTAAACAAGTCTCCATAAAACTAGCTGTGACTGGCACTCGACCATGCTGTATTAAATGAACCCTGTGTCAGCCCGTCCGTGATTTTGCCCAGAACTGTTGCCAGACGAATCACTCAATGCTTCCCTCAGTTCTCATATTCCCCCTATTTGAACGCTGGCATGTCAGTACTCCTCCAGGCTCCTGCAATAGTCCTAGGCGTATCGAACAAAACAAAATCACATTCCAGGGAGACCTCCTCGGCCAGCTCTTTTAAGACTCTTGGAAGACAATTATTGGACTGGCTGATTAATTTTATCCCCAATACATTTTTGACATTTTTCTTAGGAGCACAAAGTACTTTGTTACCTCTGTATGTGAGCAAGCACATCACCTTGCTTCTTTTTATATAAGGACAGAAATGTTTCTTGCACTTACCCCTGTATATGAGGCACTGCAAGATCCTGGTAGAAGAGATCCTAGAGGCAGATACAATTATTAGTTAAGAGTAAAGACAGAAGCAGCTTCACCACATGGTAAGATACAAAACAGAAAACTGCTGCGACTTAATCCATAAAGAGTGAAGGGACCAGCGAGGTCCCAGGCAGCGTCATAATGCAAATGATATCCTAACAGTAACGAAGCATCCAGGAGGTCACCCCCTGCCCCACAATTCACCATCCTACTTTTCCAGTTTAGAAAAATGTTTTGACTGCTCCAAAGCTACACTGACCGACCGCTACAGTGCAAAAGCTGCCGTCTTCACCAAAATGAATTCTGACGACAGTTATCTGAACTATCTAAAAGACATCAACTTTAGAGGGTCAGAGATGAAGGAAAGCTGCTATATTTATGGAGGGTTGTACTTTCCTAAAGACTCATGACTGGCAAATGCGGGCTATGCTTTCAACAACTGCACTTTGCCACAGCAAATTCGACCTTGTTGAATGCTGTAAAATGCCGTCTAAATAGCGCCTTTCCATTTTTGGAAGAGGATTAGTAAATTATAGAAGAAAGCTATTTAACATTCAGGAAATGTAACCCATATATGCAAGTTATCAATCATGCCAGGCAGATGGTAAATGTATCTCCTTTCACCACAAATTGAGCAGCAGACATTCAAATTCATCACCAAGACAACATATTTAAATTCCCTTCTATTTTCAATTCTGACATTCTTAAATTGCTAAGTAATGAAAATCAGTATTTGCATCCAGAGTTGAAGGAAAATGCTGGAAAGCCGGCATCATGGCAGCCAAGGCATGCTCTAAGTATTTGACATCTAGCAAATTAAGAGACAGTAGATTGGGGTTAATATACTGTACATAGGTCAGCGTGATCTTGGCAACTAAGAAAGCAGGGATCTCTCCCTCCAAGCTACCAGTGCCCAGGGCCCCGGCTGTCACGAGCAAGGTGGTTTCCAAATACTGGGCCCCTGGGCATCCAGCACTACGTTTGCTCTGGACATGAAATGGGAGGAGTCTTGCAGAACAGGATTTTGTGTTGGGATTTCAACTCAGGTAGAAGCTGCTGTTTTTTAAGGGTATGGATGAACTGCCACGTCTGTGGGTAAGACAGAGCACCAGTTATCCGATTACCAGGCAAATGGGACTGGTAACCCTCTGTCTCTCAACCCTCCGGGTAGATCAGACTGCTACACGTGGTCCCAGCCAGCTGTCCAGCTGCATCGTTAGCGTACAGGTCTAATGAGTGCTTCATATGCAGAATGAGCATGCCTCTGTACAAATCGCGTGGTCTCGTGCTTAATACAACTTCCAGGGGCCCGTCAGGGGAAAAGACTGACATCCAGCAATGCAGCACCCGGGTTTCTTGGGAGGCTCGGGAGACGGGGAGGCATGAAGGGAAAGCCAGGATGACAGGCACCCCAAAGCAGCTAGCTTTGAGCAGGTACGTTTAGCATTAGGGCTGTCGCTTCAAGGATACCATCTCCTCAGGATGACATTTAAAAGCCATTAGGCAGATTGCTCACCAAATGTTGGATTTGTGTCGACTTATCTGCAGTCAGGTGTGGACAGTCTCCCACGCGCACAGTTCAAGTGACGCATGAACCAGCCCGAACGCGCCTTAAGATAAAAACTTTTATTTTACAATTTTATAAAGCAGCTTTACATGAAGCACAAATGTTGATCCATTTACTTTGTATAGAAACATAGTAGTACCTTTCCCTCTGCAAAAAATCATGTCTCGTGGTATAGAAAACTAACGTGTGCACATTGTGCTTAAACTGCAAAGTCTGTACAGCTTTACAAAGGACTACCCTTTAGAAGGGCATCCGGTAAACAATTTATTGCATATTTAACACATGGTGTATACCCCACATGTAAAACGTAGAAAACAATTAAAAAAAACAAAAGAATAAAGTACAATTACAAGGTGAATGAAAATAGCAGCTTTCAGTGAATGTCTTGCACAATGACCAAGAAAAACAGCACTGCCACACATCCAGAGTTGTGCTTGTGTGTCACTGGTTTGCATATACCCACGTGCACGGTGTTGGATGAAGTACACACACACACGTACACACACACACACACACACACACACACACACAGCAATCCTAACAAAAGGGTTATAACAGACCTTAGCCTCTAAGATCTTTGTCAGTTTTAAAGTGGAGGTACAAAAAGGGGTCGCTGTTATATGGTGAATTCAGACAAACAATATTCGGCACTGGTGCCTGACAAGTCCCTCCCACGGCTCACCTCCTTTAAAAAAATAACAACAACGAAGAGGGATCACACTTGAACTCCTGTAGGTTCAAGATGCACTCACACCTGTTGTTTAATTTACACTCGCACACACACAGGGGACAGCGACGGCAACAGCATTAAGGGTAGAAGGATGCATCTCCCGTTTCTCTGCTGACGTTGCTAAACTATGCCTCCAAACAAGCCTATTTAGTCTGCTGCTGGGTGGGTTGGAAGGCAGGGTATGAAACACAGAAAGACCCATGACACTAGGGTTTGAGTTTGTTTTTTTTGTGTTTGTCTTTTCCTAACACACTAGGAAATCGTGGCCACTTTGCTAAGGCACCAATACTCGTCACAGAAGCAGTACTCAAATGTGCTCGTCCAATTCACCCAATTGAAACCGGCCGTGCTGTCGAGGAAATGCATACAGGAGGACGTCTGCCTCGCTCCCATATAATATCAGTCATTGCAGAGGAAACAAGGATTAGGGGTTTTATTTTTGATTGTTGGGGTTTTTTTGTTTTTTTAATTTGAGGAGAAAAACTCATCTTTTAATACTTTGGTATTGATAAAGGATTTTAGGCTTCAAAACACTTCTGCTGCTGCATCCGCTAGGCGATACAACCGCATTCTGCATTTGCAAAGATCACAAGAACCACCACACAGTTCCACGTCTTTGTGAGCAAATGGAAAAATTCAGTCAAGTCCACCTGCGTCCTGTCCTCACGCCTGTCCTTGCCAGCAAACTAATGCCTGCTTTGTCTCTAAGAGCTGCTTGATTTTTTTTAACTCACAAATAACTGGTACAATAGGATTAATACCAATGTTTAAATAAATAAATGTACTTAGGGTTGGGAGGGACCTAAACACAGATAATCAGGTCTGACCCCCTGCCCTGGGCAGGAATGGGTGCCGGGATCACATCACCCCAGCCAAATATCTGTTCAGCATCCTCTTGAAGACCCCCAAGGTATGGGAGAGCACCACCTCCTTGGGAGCCCATTCCAGATCCAGTTATTCCTAGTAATCCCTAGTGGTGCCTGGGGGAACAGGGACTCCCCCAGTGCCTGCTGGTCCCCTCGGACTAGTTTGCAACAGGCCACTAGATCCCCCCTCAGCCTTCTCTTGTGGAGGCTGAACAGGCTCAGGTCCCGTTGCCTCTCCTCGTAGGGCCTGCCCTGCTGCCCTCGATCATGTGAGTGGCCTCCTCTGTACCCTCTCCATGCTGTCCACATCCCTCCTGAAGTGCGGTGCCCAGAACTGGACGCAGTACTCCAGCTGCGGCCTGACCAGTGCCGCATAGAGGGGGAGGATCACCTCTTTGGACCTGCTCGAGATGCATCTGTGGATGCATGACAAGGCGCAGTTAGCCTTACTGTCTGCATCCTCACATTGGAAGCCCATGTTCATCCTGGAGTCAACAATGGCTTCGAGATCCCTTTCTGCCACCGGGTTGTTGAGAAGGGTGTTCCCAGACTAGGTGTGTTGCTGGTTCCTTCTCCCTAGATGCAGCACCTTGCACTTGTCTGTGTTGATTTCCATCCTATTCTCATCCGCCCACCTCTGTGACCTGTCTAGATCTAGCTGGCTTCTGCCCCTCCCCTCCAGCGTGCCCGCCTCGCCCCACAACTTGGTGTCCTCAGTGAATCTGGACAGCGTGCATTGCACACCCACATCCAGATCGCAGATGAAGATGTTGAACAGTGCAGGCCCAAGGACCAAGCCCTGGGGCACCCCACTGCCCACATCCCTCCAGGTCGAAAACGACCTGTCCACCACCACTTTCTGGGTGTGAACACCTACCCAGTTTGCAACCCTTCTGACTGTGTAGGCATCAATGCTGCAGTCCCCTCCTTTTTTTTTAAGAAAATGTGGTGGGAAACCGTGTGAAAGGCCTTCTTAAAGCCCAGGAAGACTACATCCACCCCAACACCCTCGTCCACAGACTTTGTGACCTGGTCATAAAAAGAAACCAGGTTAGTCAGGCAGGACCTGCCCTCAATGAACCCATGCTGGTTGCCCCTGAGCATTACCTTCCCTGCTGGGCCCTTGCAGATGTGCTCCTGGATAATTTTCTCAAAGGTCTGCTCATGTCAATGTACACTTAATCATACCAGAAAATCCCTGGAGCTTTGGGGGCTGAGATTCATAATGTGCCCATACCAAAATATTGGCAGGTATTAATATGGCCTACAACCAAATTTCAGCTAGCTTACCATATCAAATATTACTGGTCTAGCGACACAATCAATTGGTTTTACTTCCTTGGGTTTTTCAGCAGGCAATCCACACACTGAAAGACCATAAAGTCCAGTGAAAAGAGGTTATGAATACAAAAAGGAAATTCTGTGTTAATTCTGAAGCCTGGATGGAGCGAACATCTGGGTTCGGATGCGTTCAGTTATTGCACGGATACCCTCTCTCACTTGCCAGAACCACTAAGACGATTCAGACATAAAGAATAAGCTCAAGGCCATAGGTGTCGTGAGTGTTTAAAGCATAGGCAAAGGTGGGGAGACGGACACAATCATTTTAACGTACTACGTTCTTGATCAGCTTTTTTAAAAAAGCGTTTTAAAAACAAAACTTGCCAAAGGGGGAAAAAAAAAAAAAAAAAAAAATCAATCATCGATAAGTCCATTGAAATCAAGGACTCCTATGAGCTACTCAAAAATTAGCTCCTTAGCCCATATGTAGGATGCCAACAGAAATCTCCCCTGTGCGCACAGAAGCCTCTTCAATGCAATTGGAAATACAGTACACAAGAGATTTCAACGGCATGGCAGAAACGGCGACCAGCAAGCCTCAAACGTGATTGCAGCCTTGGCTTTATAAAAAAAGGGGATGGTATGTTTGCAGAGTTTTGTGCAGTCAGCTAGTCCCACTTGGAGTTGTGCTTACATAACACAAGTTAGGAGCCCGAATGCTGGCTAGGTGCGTTTTCAAATCGACACACCCCTAAAGAAACCGTACGTTGAAAGTACCTCGATATATAGAATTGTAAAACAATTTTGTGTACTTTTCCCCCCCTTCAAGAAAAGAACCGGTATAAAAAACACTTTTAAAAAGATACACTGTCCACTACCCAGGCTACAAGTAAATACACAGTTACTGCATTACAACACAATTTGTTACTCTGTTGTCAACATATACACAGATTATTCCATTTTAAAGGAGGCCACATCCTAACTTTTCAGGCAAGTGCTGGACTTTAAGGACTTTTATGGCTTCTGTAAATATCTTTTTTTTCCCCCCTACAAAAAGGAATTTTTCCGCCCCCCCGAAACTCAGGAGTACAAATGGAGTTTGACACGGGCGAGTGATTTCATGGTGGGACACTATGGGCAGGTAAACGAGTTGAAGGAGATGCTAGCTTTGATCCAAATCCTCCCTACCGGATCGAAGCATTACCGCGCTGGAATGCAATCATTTCACATCAGTTTTAAGGATCACTTCTTTGAAACAGCCCATCACTTAATATGGGGCCGTTTACAATGCACCCCTTGTTTCCCTTCGAGAAGTCCAGCGGTTCCCGCAGACAGCAGACGCATGGTTTTGGTTGTCAGCTCTAGTTGTGCTTTGCCCTGCCGCCCTTCAGATAGCTCTTCCACCTCTTAACGAACTCTTTGAAAATTGGGGCCTCGTCAATTGTGCTCAGCAGCTGGAGCTGGTTGATGTGGGTGGTGTGATAGTCCCATCGGGCCAGGTTGGGAGCCGTGCCAAGCATGAAATGGCGAAGGTCATAGATCGTCCCTGAGCCAGTATCGTAGAGCGGAAGCATGGCTTTGAGGGACTCCATGCCCCGGTCGTACAGAAGTTTTGCCTCTTTCCCTAGTTTCTCCCCCGCGGTTTCTTTCAAGTCATACAGCCCAATTAATGAGTACATGAAACCGTTCAACACGAACGAGCTAGGCGAGGTCGGGTACTCTTCATACCAGTCATGCTTCTTCATGAAGACGGCTTTCACACCGTGCTGCTCGGACAGGAGCTTGTAAGGTGCTGTGGCCCGTAAAGCTGAATTGAGGAACGTGTGGTCTTTCGTTAACAGGTAAGCCCTGACTAACGTGGAGATGGCCTGCCCTTGGGCCATGGCAGAGTACCAGCCTGGGTCTAACGACCGAAACCCTTCCCCGAGCTTCCGCATCACCATGATGGGCCAGCCCCCCCTTTCATCCTGGTTCCTCACTAGCCAATCGCTGGCAGCAAAAAAAGCCGCCATGTGCGCCGTGGTTGCTATCGTGATGTTATCAATGAGGCCTTTTCCCTTTGCAATCAACCTGACCACCTTTTTCGGCATGATCTTTGTCTGCTTTACAGCTTTTGTGTTGGAGAGGCCCACTCCCTTCCGGAGGTCAGTGACCAGGTCTCTGGTGACGGTACTCCAACTAGTCCTAGGCCCGATGCCATAGTAAATGTCCCTGTCCTTAAAAGCGATTAGCTGCATGTTTGAGACGTAGTGCACTGTGAAGAGCTGGTTCTTCTCAGTCGTTTCCAGAACCACTGATATGCTTCCGTTTGTCAGGAATTTGAGGTCAAAAGAAATAATGAAGTCCCTTGTGTTCCCAAGCTGCAGCGAGGCCCCTTCAGTATTTTCTGGAAGAAAAAGAAAAGCACCAGAAACAAAAGAAAATGTGTCAGGGATAAAAAGATCTTCCTGTTAAATGTCGTATTCATCTGCACCCCAGAGGTTGTACCATATAATGAGGTCACCCGATAAAATCCAAAATACTTCAAGGGCATTTGATCAATAAACCAAAATTCCTATTTCCATTTTTACATCAGTTCATCCTTGCCTATTACTAAATTAAACATAAAACGATCCAATTAATGAGTCAAGGGTGACTCCTGTAACACAAAGGGAAATTTCTCCTGGCTAGCCGATGTGAACATCCTGTTGCATTCTCTCCAGGAGGTGCGGTGTCAAACCGCTGGCCAAACTGCTTTATCAGCACCTTTGCTTGCTGACCAGTAGTTTGGCAGTAGTGCAGATGCCAGGATGGAGCTTCAGCCAAAGAGAAGATGGCATCAGAAACATGCAAGAATGGGATAGGCTGTGATGAAAAAAAGAGGTACTAGTTATATCACAGAGATCCCGAAATGTGTTCGATAGTATCAACATAGCCAGTGCAGACAGCAATGTTAGCCACCCTTTTTAAAATAAATCCTATTCTGATCTCGGTTGGCATCCTAACAACATGATGCAGACATCTTGTCCCAGGGGGTTATGACCAAAGACAGAAAGGCCGAATGCAAAAGGCACCTACCACTGTAGGAATTGACCATGAAAATGCAGTTTGATGCACATAAATTCAGTGTTTCATCGTAGTCTGGAATTACTTGCTCTTAGACTTGCAGTCAGATGCATCATATCAACTACCTTGTGCCCGAGATACTTAACCACCTACTTTTCTCTTCACTTCCCCAGACACAACCTTGTATCAGATCCCGTTGTCACCAGCTTAATTGTTTAGTGATTCCCAGCATATCAGCTCTAACTCTGCAAACCCACTGAAGGCAACGGGCATTTGTGAAGGCAGAACTGAGGATCAAGCTCGATGACTAGCAGTGCACCAGAGACAACCTGGCTTGATATTCAGAAGCTCCTGAATTTGCAAGGAAATAACGTCACAGTTTCACACTGGAAGCAGAAACAGAAATGGAGAGAAACCATGCAGTCATGGCAAGGCCGCTTTTACGCTGGCTTTTTTAACAGACAACGGCAATTTTAGCAAAAGAGCTTGGTGAACCGAAAAAGAAACAAGTAGCTAGAAATCCATTGGGACTAAAACTGAAATCTCTTAGCTGCGTTTCTGCATCCTTGACAGCTCCAAGAGCAGGGAACTGATCGGTTTAGTGGGAAAATGAACACAAAATAAGATAACTTCACATTTCAGTGTGTGCATGTGTGAGCATTAAACATCTAAGGGCAAATCTGCCAGTGCTTTCTGGTGTTCACATATGCTAACAATTAAATAAGTTTTCAAAGCAACATGCCACTGTGAAGTCCAGTGTTTCTTCACAGGCTGGTTTCCAAGATGTAAAATCTTAATCCCCCCAAACCAAGATGATCAAAGGAATAACTGGTTTGTTAGACTGCACGCAGATCCTGTCGTTCTGAAAGCACAGAGGGATGATAAACACTTAAAGGCAGTTGTTCTAAATTAATGGTTTTTCAAGGCATAAAATTCTCATGCGAGAGAGGCAATTGTTTCTTCGCTCATGCTTCTTGATGTGCGAAATATCCCATAAATATTTCTAAGTGCAATAAATGAGTTATGACCCCTATTCCTGAAAGTCCATAGGGCTTTTCCCATTTCCCCGACAAATCCATTTCACTCAGCATTAGGACTGTTTTCACATTTTGCCTTATAAGGCTTCATTCCACCTGTTCCTATTTTGATTAATAAAGGTATTTTTTTAAATGCTCAGAGTCAAAACTGAGCTCCTCCAAGGTCTCAGACTCAGCACCTAGAGAATACTAGCTGTGTTTTGCTATACTAAATGTACTCTATTGCAAGTGTGTAAGTGTAACCCCAGGTAATCCATCTGCATTTTACCAGGTAGATTCTACCACCTTCCCCACAACCCCAAGCACCTCCTCACACCTACAGTCTCTCATTCTCTTTGACCCTCACTGCCTAGCATTTGCATTTTCACAGACCTGCATTTTGGCTTCTATTCTACCCAGGAGAGCACGCAAACACCAGACTCTCCCTGTGCCTGAAGAAGGGTGTTTGTGCCCCAAAGCTTGCAAAGAACAACTTTTCCAACTATTTAGTTAGTCTAATAAAAGAGATCGCATCTACCCAAAGAACCTTGTCTGCCTATGTCCTTAGCCCAACACGGCTACAACCCAACAGCTCTACTGTCAGTGACTACTGAAGTCACAGATGATACTTAGAGAATGCGGTGAAGTTTGGGCTTTTGTGAAAGCACATTAGCTGACCATGCCAGCTCCCATTTCTACTCATCCTAACCCCTTTTGCTTCCCATCACACAAACAGGAAGTGGGCAGACAGAAAATTAAGAACCAAGTAAAAAACCCCCCAAAGGTTGCCTATTTTTTGCACAGCATTAAGTGCTCATAAATCCATTACTAAAGGGCATCTAAAATAAGGGGATGCGAAGTGTGGCCTTCAAGGTCTGAAGATTACTCTGCCATCAATAAAGGATGAGGGGAGAATACATAAGAGATCCTATAACCTTTCCTCTCCTTCTATTTATCTACTACAAAGACACAAGAGTTTTCTCAACGATCTTTTCCTCAGAGACCCAGGCCCAAGGTGCTGACTAAAATTACTTCATTGTCTTTTTAAGTAATGGACTCATTAATTCTAATGGGTATTGATTAAGGAGGAAAATACATTATGTCCTTATTAATGAGGCTGTCTTTAGACAAGTGGAATCGTTGCATAAAATAATGAATTTTATTCATGGCTTATTTTGTTAAGTATGAAATGGAGTATGACAAAACTCCAGAGGAAGCAGTAGTACCTCTGACAACTACCAGGAGTGGAGTGGGACCTATGGGCGCGTCTACACGTGCATTAACGTGCTTTAGTTAGCGCACATTAAATCTAGTACCTCCACTGTGAGGTACTAGAAAATGCGCATTAGCCTGTCTTAATGCGCATTAGCTAAAGCGCATGCTTTTTAAGTGATGTTTAATGCACATTAGCCTATTTTAATGAGCATTAAGTAAACAGCACAGTTTTAAAAGTGATGCTTTAATGCACATTAAAATAAACTAATGTGTATTAAAAAGCACATGTGTAGATGCACCCTATGGCTCTAGAGAGAGACATATTTGTTAGCTGGCCATGCTTCGGGGCAAAGCCTTGGCTATAGCTGGAAGTAAATAGCACAGGCCTCTGGTTGGGCTGTTTATAGCCAGCCATCCCTGAAAATAGCAGAAAGGCTCTCCAAAGTCACTCTGGCTGCTCTCACCCCCAAAGGGCTGGCATGGGAGCTGGGGATCAGCTGGACAGAGGAAGCTTCACCGGCCTCTTTCTCCTGGGCACCTCCTTTGCTGTGACAACAGACCCACTACAACCTCGGGGATCCTGCTATGCAGAGATGATGATCCAAGTTACCGGTGACTGATTATAGACTCAAAGAAGAGCAAATAGAGGGCACAGAGACAGTCACACCAGACCGCAGGAGTAGGGGCAAGATAAATCCATGGAAGTCCTCAGACCCAATTCCATCATCTTTCTGCACACAAGCTTTACTGAACCAGACAGCTGCTCCATTCTGTAACCTACAGATCCCATCTATTAAAGATCTCCCTCACCCTGAAACAACCAAAAGAGGTACGTGCCAACCACTGTAACTCACTTGCGGACTAGTCCTGGCTACACAAAACTGACAGCGTTGCGCTGTGGCCACAAGAGCATTCCATGGATGAATATGGCCTCCTCTTGTTAGCTTGAAAGAGGCCAGGACTGATGGGCTAACTATGGCAGAAAGACCTTGTATAGCAAGTGTCAGCCCAAATATCTACATCCTAGCAAAAAGTTTCTGACTACGGAGGTTGCTAAAGGAAGGGCCACGTAGGTAAGGCTGTACAAAAGATTTCATGAGACCATGTTGGCATTAAAATGCTTAGAAAAAGGGCTCGGGCAAGTGTTGTTCTATACTCCTGAACCCATTCAGAAGTTTTCTGCCTCTGACAGGCATGGCAGCCCAAGGAGATGGCTCCTCCAATTGCTTGTGTAGCACCATCTCTTCCACAATACAGCTACAGCATGTTTACAAGTTAAAAGTCAGAAAAACTAAGCTGGAAGTTAGAAGGAAAGAAAAAATGAAGAGGCTAAGAGAAAGGAGTAGATGTTTCATGGATGGGAACCCCCCCCAGCAAAACAAGGATATACACATCTGTACTTGATCCTTGAAGTCAAGTCTTCACTAGGAATCTCCCTGCAAATAAACACGTTTATCCACTATGACTCTACAGCAACCCACCTGGAGCGACAAACTGCTTCACGTTTGTGAACCGGGATTTATCGGACACCGTTGCAACCGAACAGCCTTTTGGGACAGTCCAGTCAGTAGGCCTGCTGCTTTTGTCCTTGTCTTCGGCTGTTTCGTACACCTCTATGTGAGGAGGTTTCTCCGTCAGGTTTTTACTGTAGTGACTCAAGCCATACTGTGCAATCTGGATTGGGTAGAAATAGCCTTGAGGCCCCCACTGCGTAGATAACGGCACACCTATAGACATGGGGGGGGGGGAACCACAAATAATGTTGTAAGATCATGTAAAATGCAGTTTAAAACTCCCCAATCCCCACCTACCCATGTAAATACTGGCAAATAGTATTTATAACCTCCTATCATTAGTTCACAGGCCCACGCAGAGTCCCTGTTCAAAGAGGTGACTTTCTCCTTATTATACCATCTGCAGGTACTACAAAGCTGCTGTCAAAACAGACCAGATGCGAAAGGCAGAATGAAGTCCTCATGTTGTACCACACAGGCAAGCAGCTGCTAGCTGAAACCCCACACTTGTCCACAGATATCGCACACTTGCATGGATTTTTCTCTTCCACCTCCGAGACCATTAAATCCCAAAGCATGCCACGTTCTGCAGAATCCCCCCCAATATAAATCATTGGCAATTTAAAGATCTGTCCTCGTTATTCCTAGAATCTGGCTCAAATTAATTGATGCGGAACCTACAATTTTACTCAACACCTACACACCTTCACTAATTACGACAGCTCTCCAACTACAACCCTATTACAAGTAGTTATTGAAATAATGCCAATACAATCACGTGGCAGCTCCGCTGTGTTATTAGCAGAACCTACAAATGCTCCTTGCTCCAAGTTTCATAGGTTTGGCTTCATGTATAGTTAAAGAACTGGCAACCTAGACTCTAGCCTAAGTCTCTCCTCTCAATCTGGCTGTTTCTAGGGTTTTTCTGGAGAAGCTGCCTTGTCCCAGAGCCCAGAAATGAAGGCTCCCTTTGTTTTATCCATTGCCTCTGACTTGGTGCCCTTATTAATATCCATTCAGATGTGCAACGATACCATCCCGTTCACAGCCCCGGCAACCAGTATCTCAGATATAACACTGCATCACTGACAATGTGGGCACGAACACAGGGAAGAAGGCTATTATTTATATACGAAGAGGTGAGCATAAAAGCACATGCCTCTTTGAACCAATTAGTCTCCAAGGTGGGACCCTGCCCTATCTTCTGCCTATTTAGCTAAAATAGCTTAATGAGCTATAAGAAGAACGGAAGTCCATGAGCAGCACACAGCAGTTAAGCTTTGGATAAAGATTTCTTCAAATCAGGCTCCTTTTCACCTAAAACAATTCCCCAGCCTTTCAATGGAAACTCAAAAGCTGAATCTCCCGCAGAAAGGAAAGCTAGGATTCCTGCCCCACAAACCTTTGAATGGGGACAAAGAGCAAAGCAAATTGAAAGTGAAAAATAAATATTGTGGCATTCACATCATTTCCCCCTCTGGAAGCGGCAAGCTCAGAAGCTAGTGATGCCTGAAACCTGGCGTAATGAAAAGATTAGTTAAACTAAATTAAAGATGATACATTTTCATATATTTCTGTGCTCCCTGTTACTAATAATAAGTGTTCTTGATAGTGACTTGATGGACTACTACTGCTTGAAGAGTAAAAGCATCAAGGGAAATATTTAAGTACCGTGTATTATCTCAACTGCTGGAAGCTAACTTGCTTATTAATGCTAAGTGTTCCCCGTTAAGGGTGCGTGCATTGGGATCAGAAGACTCACAAAATGAAAGTCTGCTATAAAAGCCTTACTTGTAGCTGTTAATTTACGGAGATGACATGATTAAATTCTCCAGGTCACGGGACATGAGGCAACATATTAACCTTGTAGAAGAGAGACAAGGTAAAACATAGCAGCTCCTCTCTCTCACATCTAAGTGACAATAAAAACCTACTTGGAACAAAATGATGCAGAATAACAATGCAAAGTCTTCCCCACTGGCCATAACTAATTCTCCTATCAAATTTGTTTGCCAGACACCTGTAATTTTATTCCCCCACCTGCATCAAGGCTCAGGCATCACCTCCCACAGCGACAGCTCTAAAGGGCGAGCTGCTAACACCAAATCTGTAGGTAAACAATGCTCGGCAATTTGGTTCAATTCAGTCCCCCACCAGGTTGTGCCCAAAATACCCGTCAGCAAAACATGTTGCACATCTGTCTGCAGCCTACATGTTTCGCACACCAATGAGTTGTGTGTGTGTGTGTGGGGGGGGGGGCTGCATTGTTTTGTTGAGTGCATCTTATTCAATTGAAATGTGTTAGAATAAAGTGTTGAGGGTCCCGCAAAGTGACCAGCAGCAGGTATCTCCAGGCACTCACTATATTTAACATGCAAAGTAGACAGTGTTTTAAAGCCCCAGAGTCACAATAAGGGAGTAATCATTTGAGGCTCCAGAGCGGCGAGAGATGTAGGTGAAAGCCTGCCGCGCCCCTGCTCCCCTGAAGCCCCCCAGCAGCCCCAGAGCCCCCCGCCGACCCCCAGCACAGCCAGAGGCAAGCGGGGCCCGCGGGGGGAGGGGGTTAACCCCTCTCTGAGTGGGGGGAGGCGGCTGAGTGGAGCCGGGCCAGGTCAAGCCCCCGCCCAGGCCCCTCCTTGGCCCAGCCCCCCAGGGAGCCGCGCGACCAGGCTGCGCAAACAGGCATGCTTGTCTGCCGGCGCATGAGTTAGCGCGGAGATCGTGCAGGAGGGCCCGAGGCCCTGCCTGCAAACCCCCCAGGGTAGACAGTCCCAGCCATAGCCAGCCTACCAGAGGCATGACACGGATGGGCACGTGTCGCACCCCAAGGGTCCCCGAGGGCTCTGCGGCCCCCCCATCGGGCACCTCAGAGACGGCCACCCAGATGGAGCCCATGGTTTTGGGCTCCACGCAGATGGCACCCCCGGCTCTCGGCTGCGGGGGCTGCCTGTCCCTTTTCCAGGCTCTGGAGCCGGAAGCATGGCCACCTCCCCATGTGGGGTCTGCTTCCTTTTGGGGTCTCTGGTGCACAGCTGGAGGAGCTCCAGGCCACAGTCCAGAGACTGCGCACCATCAGGGACTGTGAGCAGGAGATAGACTCCTACTGCCAGGCCCTCCTCCCCCGGGAGCCGGAAGGTAGACCACCGTCTTCCTCCAGGACAAGGGAGGACTCGGGGACCTCCCGCTCTGTCCAGTCAGGGGCACGAACCAAGGTGGTCAAGGGCCCTAAGGCCTGCCGCACCAAGGCCCCCGCCCTGCCGGAGCTTAGCAACAGCTACACACTTCTTGCAGCACCAGCAGAGCCTGCGGAGTTGCCAGCTCCCACAGGCACCACAGGCCCAACTGCAACTACTGCCCCCGCTCTCCCCAAGACAAGACATAAGGTGTTTGTTGTGGGAATTTCTTTGCTGTCTGAGCCCCCAAGGTCTGGAACAGCCTGCCATTGGAGGTGGTTCAAGCACCTACATTGAACACCTTCAAGAGCAAATTGGATGCTTATCTTGCTGGGATCCTATGACCCCAGCTGACTTCCTGCCCCTGGGGCAGGGGGCTGGACTCGATGCTCTTCCTAGGTCCCTTCCAGCCCTAACGTCTATGAAATCTTTGAAAAAAAATTGATGGAGAGAGGTAGAATGAGCTAGATAGAAAGCACCTATCTGGGTGAATGGAATAATCTGGCTGGGATGATGTAGTTGGGGCTGGTCCTGCTCGGAGCAGGGGTTGGACTAGATGTGACCTCCCCAAGGTCCCTTCCCACCCTCATTGTCTATGAAGCTATTTTTGTGATATCTTGGATTGGATGCACGGTATAGTTGGGAAGTGCTAATGGACAAGCATTGGGTCATCAGGCGCTCTTGCTCTCCCAGCTTTACAATTGGTCCATAAAAATAAGTCACAAAAAAGCCTTTCCTCACAGCATTTGCTGGACCATCACGTTTACAATGACATTCCAGCCCTATCTAGATTACTTATTCTCAAACAGGGTGCCAAGAGACCCCTTCAAGGTGTGCCACAGGGTGCCACACGATGTTAGCACTGTTAGGTGTGCAAACACAATTCACAAGAGAAACTCTGATTTCAAACAGGATTTCAAATAGGAATGCTGTTAACCACATTCTGCCCTGCTGTGGGGTTTTGAGTTCTTTGTAACAGAAGAATTGCTCCACTATTTTTCTGTAGTCAAAAAAAAGGAGGAGGAAAAAAAAAAAAAGATTGAAAGCTCAGAGCTAGCTTTTTCCAAGGAGAACCTTGAGTCTAAAAGAGGTTGAGAACCACAGGTCTAGATAAACACAGCCAACACCAAAGCAATTGGCTGAAGTTTCCCAAAGGTACTTAATGTAATGTAAGAAATAGGGAGAACATTTTCATCTCATGGGCCTCACACAGGGTCCATGAGAACAGTTGCCAGCATTGAGAAACACAGCATTTGTGCTGAACAGTATCTAGTCTCTAAGGCTATCAGCAGATGCTGTCCTTGGAGCAGGATCAGCCGCTTCAGTGGGCGACAAAGGTGTTTCTTGCTGTCCCGAGCTGTGGTGTGCAAATGTGACATTCATGCCCAGGGAATCCCTGGCAGGAAGATTATGGGGGCAGGCCTCTACAAGCAGGGAAATCTAGGCAGGTGCTCCTGGTACTTTAGAGGTCCTTCCCGGGGTGTGTGGGACTGGACTCCTGCCTGGGGCAGCTGGAGAGCACGGGTAGTTCTGGGCTGCCCACGCTCTCCCATCATAAAGCAAATACACACCCACTGTGAAAATGTGGCACAAAAGTTTACCACCTACTGTTGTAGCCACAATTTTGGACATTTATGGTGCAATGAGGAGACAAGCGTCTGTTTGCTTGGGCTTTGTCCCGACATGCAAAATGTTTATGGTGGCACAAAGGCAATGCCTGTTTCTAGCCTAGGGCACATTTGCAGTTTTGAGGAAGCCACGACACTTAGCACTGGCCCTGTCTGTGGTACAGGAGAGTCAGTTAGAAGGCCTTTTTAAATGTCTGGCCTAATTCAGAGCTAGGTCACCTTGGGACGCAGTTCAAATGGAACCAATAATAGCATCGCACAAGTCCCTTTTTTTTACCACTCACATGCATAGTTTGAGATTAACTGCATCTCTCTCCCTGACTATTTTACTGAAGTGGGAGCTGAAATAGGATGGTGATGCTCCTCTCCATTAAAGGCAAGGTCTAGTAAATGCTGAAACGAACAGTAAACTGAGTATTTAAAAGCAGATGCGGGGAATGGGAAGTGGCAGTTAAGCTCAGGAAAGCAAGACAAATTCAATAATCTCAAAATAATCTTTTAAGATTTCTAAAGCCCACTGCTGGTAGAGATGTGTTGCAACAGAGCAGTTTATGTATTTTTCCAAATGTATGCTCAAGATTCAAACTATTGAGATATTGATGGAAAAGGTGCAACAGAAATATTCACTCAGCTGATAATGATGTTCTTTGGAATGTGACCTGAAGGACAACGATATTTGTGATTAATTCAGACACTGTGCATTCACTCCTGGGCATTTTTTCCATATGAATAATCCTATTATGTGCAGGGGCTTAGAAGTGACCAGATAACAGAAGTAAAAAGTTGATGCTAACAGAGTGGAATATCACTAATGAATAAGAAATGTGTGCATGCGTATGCACACGTGCGCGTGCGCACACACACACACACAGGTGATGTTTCAGGGGTGCAGTCAATGGCTTGCAAACTGGTAATTTTCCCCTTAAATTAAAAATTCACCATCCTATCAATGCATTTTGTTTCCCTGAAACAGTTTAGTTTTTCTCTACAATATGCCAAAGAGTGCCAATCAATTCTACAGTAAATTTTGTAAAAGTAATGCATTCTTGGTACTACAAGACATCACTAGAGCGCTTGTGCATACAAGTCATGGGCTGCGTGCATTCACTAAGTACAAAGCAGAAAGGTTCTACACTTAGCTTTTAATTTTCCTCACGGTCTTAGGTGACAAAGCTTTAAAATGGTTTAAATGCTCTCATCTTTAACTCAAGCAATTCATTCGCCCTCAGGAATTACAATGGCTCTGATACCCCAATTGGCTCAAAGCGCATGCTGGGCCCAGTTAAATCTGCATGAATTCAATCCGGCACTATTTGCTCTTGGTGCACAGTATTCACCTTTTTGCTACAAAAAAAAAAAAAAACCTTTCCAAAGTGGGAGGTTAAATCGTTCCGTTAATTCACACACGTATGAATGAAAACAAATAAGGTCTTATCTTGTTAAACGCAGTGTGACTGCTGACTAGAGAATACTCCTGAATAGATAGTTCTGCCTTATGCTACTGCACAGATGACCCAAAATGCTCTCTGGTACTTTGTGCCTCTGCCCTGAGATTATAACCTGTCTCCACAGGGCTGTGTAGTGAAGCACGAGAGGACCTTCTGGTGCTTCCAACCAGCTGCATTAGAGAAGCATGAAGGAAGCTGGAAGGACAGCACAACGCTAGTTTGAGGCTTGCATTGGTGACACCCCGACTGAGACTTAGGGAAGCCAGAGACCTCTCGAGCTGCAGTTGCAGAACAAAAATAAGTCTTGCATCTCTAATGATGAGAGTCAACTATAAGGGGCATTTCAGCTGTAAAGCGGATCAGACTGACCTTCAACGCCGCTGATGCACTTCACTCTGTCACGCACTTCCACATTGTAGCCCTCGAAGGACATGAACACGCCGTCGGGGTGGTAGGGGGCTCTCTGGGTGTACACTTTGGAGTAGCTATGGGAGAATTCAAACCGGTCGTACCCATCATACTGAGCAACCTTCCCATAGACCTCAAAGTACTTCTCCACCCAACTGAAGGGCAGGAAGACCTCGCTGCCCTCTCGCCTCCCTTTTATCGTATGCTCGTCATTGATCAGACAGTCTATTTCCTCATATTTCAGTCCCAAAACTTTGTTCCCGTTGAAGCCGCCCACGATAGGCGGGGCTTTCTGCTGCTCCTGTGGCGATGCCTCCTCGCTCTGCTGCTTCACGAGGCTGTTCACATAGTTGTTACTCTCTGAAGCGGCGGCTCGTTTCTCCAAGCTGTCCACGCGGAAGCCGCTGCTGAGACTCCGGGGAAATTGAGCCGCTTTATCGCTGGAGCATTTGTTCCACAACAGCACCGTGACAAGTGTGAAGAGAGTGCAGATTACGATCAAAGTCTTATAGTTGACCCGAGCTGCCAGGCAACGCATATTCACATCATACCTACAAAAAACAAGATGGGAGAAGTTTTCAAGTACAAGTGGGGAGTAAGTCCACCAGGAACCAACAAGGTCTTTGCTTTTACAAGTGGCATGTGGTCAGCAGGGTCGCGAGTCCCAGGTCCGTCTCCACCTTGGCCTCCCTACAGTCTCGAGCAACGGAGGTATAGTCCTCCTTGGCGATAGCCCCTCCCCTCCATCGGGTGTACGCCTCCTTTTTAGCTTTCAGCCGATCCTGAGTGCCTTTGGTGAGCCATGGGGGCTTTTGAGTACTCTTGCCCACTTTGACTCGCATTGGGACAGTCCCCCTTTGGGCTCGAAGGATCATCTCCTTAAGGAACAACCACTCGTCTTCGACTCCCAACTCCCCTCCCCTCTGGAACCTCAGCGCCTCCCTAACTAATCTCTTTACCTCATTGAAATCTGCCCTCCTGAAGTCCGGGGCTGCTGCCTTGCTGCAGGCCCCTGACACCCTGCGCTGGATGGTGAATCCCAGCAGGCAATGATCACTATCGCCCAGGTGGTCGAGCACCCACAGTCCACTCACCAGGTCGTCACCAGTGGCCAGAACCAGATCCAAACAAGGCATTTCCCCTGGTAGGACTGTGCACCTCCTGGGTTAGATGGAGGTCCTGTAACTAGGCTAAGAACCTACATGAGCGGTCAGACTTGGCTGACTGCTCTTCCCAGCAGATGTCCAGGTAGTTTAGGTCACCCATAATGACCACGTCCCTTGAATTAAGTGCCTCCGCGAGCTGACCTGAGAATTCATGGTCCAGCTCTTCCCCCTGGTTGGGTGGTCTGTAGACACCCACTGTTAAGTCCCTTTCCCCGTGACCCCCCTGTATTCTGACCCAAAGCACTTCAGTCTGCCCCGCTGACCCAGTGCTGTTTGCTAAGGACATGTATTGCTCTTTGACGCAGAGCGCCACACCCCTGCCTTTCCTCCCTGTTCTGTCCCACCTGTACAGTCTGTAGCCCGTAATGTTTACTACCCAATCATGGGTTGAATCCCACCAGGTTTCACTGAGTCCCACTATGTCCAGGTTTGTGTTAGCTAGCAGGAGGGCAAGTTCCTCCTGCTTGTTCCCCATATTATGAGCATTAGTACAGACGCATGCACCTCCCCTCTGATCCCAGGACTATCTGGGCCCCTGCCACTTACCTGGGTACTTCTTGTGCTAGTCACCTGTCTTGGCTGGGAAGTGTCCTTGTGTCCCCCTATGGCCCCACCCCCTGACAAAGCTAATTTAAAGCACACCCTATGAGGTCAGCCAACCTGGAAGACAAGACACACTTGCCTTCAGGGGAGAGGTGAAGCCCATCCCACCCGAGCATGCCTCTAAAGTCTATCAGACAGAGACATTAGACAGCATGTCTAATGTCTAGACACAAGACAACAGACATGTCTAAGTCTAGGTCCAATGTCTATTGGATGTAGACAGGGAGAATGGCAGGGTTGTGCACTACCACACTGAAGGAAAAAGTACTTTTTTTTTGGATCCAACTACATCTCAACCTCTAGCAGGCAGCAGCAAGAATGCGGGATGAAGATCTCATTAGGGGGAGATCATGTCAGACCAACCTGATTGCCTTCTACGATCAGGTCACAAAGGCCATGGATGCAGGTGTCACGGTGGATGTAGTCTTTCTGGACTTCAGCAAGGCCTTTGATACCGTCTCTCACCCCATCCTAGTTAAAAAACTAGGTGACTGTGGCATCGATGCCTACACAGTCAGATGGATTGCAGATTGGCTGAGGGGTCGCACTCAGAGGGTGGTGGTGGATGGGTCATATTCGACCTGGGGCGAGGTGGGTAGTGGAGTCCCCCAGGGC